CCAAATAAACATTTGAGAATAACTTGAATGGTCCGTCACTTTAATTTTTCCATTCGCATTATTACCCAATGTAGCAGATCTGCTACATTTTGGAAAGGTGGGCCAAAGGGCAAAAATATGATTGTAACTGTGAGTGTTTCAGTGCCTTATGGTGTTAATTTTATTCAGCAAATGCTCTCATATAAAACTCTTTGGCTTACAGTGTATATTGAAAATGGCCATGTATTGTTAAAATAGGAGTATGGCAGCATGGCAAATTGGAGTGGGGGCGCAATTTTAAAGTTACATATTTTACTTCCAGGTGTGGCCCACAAACTTGGCACTTTACCCAAATTGCTTCAGCTTCATATTCAATTCAATGGTTGGATTTTATGCTAAAAGTATAGAAGCCTTCACTGATGAATGTCAAAATTCCCTCACCACCTGGCTTGCTGTACAGCTGCTGATTCTCTGCCATTTTACTCGTCTAAATATCATGGTTGGCAAAGAAGCTAATGTCAATGTAATTAACAGATTTCTACCACAGAGGTGCAAAAACATCAGGGCCTAATGTTATTAAATAATGGGGAACGTGTCATGTCATGAGAGTTGTCAATAAGGGATTATTACAATTTCTAAACTTAGTGAAAGTCAATATTTAGAACGGGCAGTAGACTGTGGCTGCCCCACAAATCACACAACAAGTTTTTGTATTTCTACTCCATCATGGGTTTTGTCTTGAAACATAAACAAATTGTCCAAGGCTTAAGCACGCACTTCAGTGGGGGGAAGACATAAAACAAAACAAGGTCATCTGGCAGAAAAGAACCAGAAAACAGCCTTTAAAACAAACTGAGAGGATCTTGTGTGTTCATGGGCAGGGCAAAAAAAAAAAAAAAAAAAGAATAAGACTTTGCTTGCTTATCCAGGTAGAGATTAACAAACACTCCATCTTCACAGTGGCCTCCTTTCATGCCCATGTCCAATAAAACCAATGACAAGGATTTGAACCGATGAATCAGACTGCAATTACGCGGAGCCCCGTAAAAAACCAGAACGACTGACTCCTCTGACCTTTCTGAAGTACAAATGGGCGGACAGCATTTTTACAGCACTCCTTAACATAACTCCCAGATAGTTTTTCAGTGAAAACAAAGGGTACATAAAGTTTGTATTCCAAAACGCAAAAAACGGCTGGCAGAAAAGCATCTTGGGTTGATACAAGGGTCAGCAGGGCATCTATGTGAAGATATAATAGGTGACTATTATATGGCATGAAACAAATCCACTGGGATCAAAAATACAAAAACAGAGACTTGCATCTGAAGTGCAGATGCCCTTTTCATAAAAAAACATGAATTCCAGTGTAATCAGGAAACATCTGAAAGGCTGAAGCAAATACAGAATTGGAAAAATTGACCCGACGCCACACCGATCAAATGTTTAGGAAAGAAAATATCACAGGGCCAGCTGGTTTAGCCAGACCCTTCTGCAGACTGAGTAGTATGAATGTAGCATGGAAAGTAACCGAAAGGTTTCTCATGAGACCAAATACATCTACTTGCTGAAACATAATATCAAAAAAGTCAAGTTCCAATATCTCTTGAGTGAGCTTCAAAGGTAGGCAACAGTAGATAGTCATAGTAGCTATGTGCACTTTTAATTCAAATTATATCTACCATCAATATTAGCTGTAGCTGTTAGCCTAGCATCATACTTTACATATACATATTTTATAATAGTTAAAAATGTTCAGCCAAAAGTGAACTTGCAGCAAAGGATTGTGTTAGGTCACACCTAATAATGCTTGACATTTGCATATGCATGATTTAAACAGGCATTATGTCACATTTAACAAGCCATAATATGTACTGCATGAAGCCTTTAGGTGCAACACTTCATTTATAGCAAACCCAAAGACATTATCAGTCATAGAGAAAGAAGAAGAAGAGGAAGGAGAAAAATAAGACCAGATATTAGACCAGCAGCCCAGTTCCCAACAAACCTGCACTGATAATCAGTGGCAATGCATGGTACCAGGCTCATGCAAATTGTACTTCACCTCATCAAAAAAATAAACAAATAAAATAATGAACGAGAAAATTGACTGTCTAACCACTGGGTGAACTGCAGGCCCAGTTCCTGTTACACTCAGCAACCTGACAGCCTCTATACCTCCACAGAGCTAGAAAAGGATGCTGTCGAGCTCTGCAAAAAAGGACCCCCCTACCCTTAACGTTTGTATTACAATAAGAAAGTCATGGTCTTGCTTGTGATAAGTGAGTCCAAAGCACATCTGAGGATGCCGAGTATGCATTTGAAAGGAAGATACCGCTGAAAGGACTTATCTTAACAGCTCCCTCCACCAACCGACAAGCTCGTAATAAATGTAAACATTGCGTAAATTTTTCCTGGCCCTTTTTAGACAGTCTGACAGCAACTTGACTTCAAAAACATTCAATTAAATGGAAAGCAGTCTGATCTCTGGTTCATGCTGAACATGATTCTTACTTGGACAAGCGACCTCAAGCACTGGTCTTAGAGGGCCATTGTGTCTGCACTTTTCATGATTTTCATTTAATCTGTAATCAGGATAGGCCTAGAAAGAAAGTGTATTGATATCTTTAGTTAAAAATGACTTAATTACCACGGACTCACACGTGAAGCAAGAAAAAAATGCTTCAAAGGTTTGAGTTTGAGATACATGCTCAAGGGAAAAAAGCAGGCTGGCAAACTTTTTCCATTTGTACCAGTGTAGGAACACAGCTGAATGAGGACTGTCCGTTTTCTTTTTTTTAAACTGTTAGTACTGGATCAGGGTCACAGGTGGCAGGTGCCTGTAATGTCCTGACTGTTTTTTGAATTGTTTTCCCACAATCTAGCTGTCTAAATCAGTTTCCGATCAGCATTCTTTTATTGATCCTATTATTCAATTATAGTCTCATTGATTTCCCCTCTTCTCGTGTCCCTTGTCCTGCCTTGCACAGCTGTCTTCCCTCAGAGTTAATTGTTGTCTTGTGTATTTAAATTTTTAGTCTCTGACTTCCCTTTGCTGGATTGCTACTCAGCATTGCTTTGGCCAGTGCCTCCTGTCTACCGTCTTCAGAAAATAACTACCAAAAACCAAAGCCTTTTTCTTCTGAGGAATTCCCTCTCAGGTCCCACAGTCTGGGGCGATCACGTCCTTTCGTCTGGTTTTCTGAGTGGTGCTTGCTGCAATTCCTCCAAGGGTCTCTGGCTCATCTTTCTAGAGCTGATTCCAGCCCAGCCCTGTCCAGCCATTTAAGTGCTGTCCATGTCCATTGACACTCCAGTCGGACTGCGGGCTACAGCTTATTGAAGCCACTTTTCTTTTGCATTTTGTTTTGTTAATCAAGGCCAATAGCGCTGATACCAAATGATTTTGCATTTGGCTTCTATCTGCTCTGGATATCAAAACAGGTTCCTATTCAAACAGTAAACAAACATTTGCAGTGAATTCATTCACTTTGCTGTGACAATGCCATTCACTGCATCATCCATTTTTTTTTTAAACAAACTCTTCAGCCACAATTGCCCATCTTTCTCAGTAGACTCCCTTCCCCACACTTCAGCTACAACTATTGTGTCCATATTTCCGTTTAAAAAAAAAATAGGAAGAGCTAATTTTCTCAATGGGCAATGAGAGTGTGGTTATATTGGCAGTGACAGGCTGCTTATGTGGAAGAGCTCAGTAGGTATTAACACTGACTCACAATGACCATGGCAGATTGTTATATGATCAAGAAAACAAGAAAAATTCCTATTGAAGAGAAGAAAAGCAGTAGGTGAAAAATACAGTGGGTTTCTGGGCTCTGCAGGTTGGCAAAGCCATTAACTGTATCCCCAGCAGCTGACCTCCAGCAGCAGTTTGGCTTCTTTCAAACAGCCATCTTTCACCGGTCTGGTCGCACCACAGCCATCTAATAATTACAGCTAATGAAATAGAACTCTTGGCTGCTTTAACCTTGGAACATGTACAGATATTTCACTTGGTGTGTGTGTGTGTGTGTGTGTGCCTGTATGCATGCATATGCATGTGTGTGTGTGTGTGTGTGTTTGGGTGTGTATGAGAGAGAATGTGTGAGTAAGAGAAAAAGAGAGACAGAGAGAGAAAGAGATATTGGTTATGAGCTGTTTTTGATCATTTGTCAGGGAGAAGAATTAGTACCAAAATACATCTTATCTCAAGCTTTAAGTTAGTAACACTGTTGACTACTGCTTCCTTGATTTTTTTCGTGGATTATTACTTCCACTGAACCACAGCTGGAAATTCTGTGGTCAACATGTCGGTAACTTACAAGCCCATTTAAAAAAAAAGTTGGAACAACCCTACAAACATAATATGTCCCTGCAATTTTCTGTTTTGTGATGTTTCATTTGTGACATTGTAACAATGTAACAGCAACAATACTAGTACTTTGCTACTCTTTGTACATTGCTGCTACATCAATGAAATGTTACTATGCAAAAATGTTAATAAAAAAAGGAAACAGTGATTTATAAATCACCTTTAACCTGTAATAAATTGAAGACCATGCAAAGATAAGGTGTCTTAATCTTTTCCCGCTCAGCTTTACTGTTTTTTGAAATAAACACTCCAATTTTTTTCTAGCAACAAAAACTATTTTAATGGTTGGCTGGTCTAACAACAGCAAATCTTTTCACTGTTCCTCAGCCCATTTTAGATGAGCTAGAGCCCAAAAAAGATGGCAGCATTTCTAGACGTTCCCACATATCCATTATCTAAAGTGCCTCTACCTCATTTGGGTCGTGGAGGGGCTGAAGCCTATCCCAGTCAACTATGTGCGAAAGGCAGGAACACACCCTGGAGAGCTGGCCAATCGCAGGCTCACACATCATTCACTCACACACACATATCAATGAACAATTTAGAGTCTCCAATTAACCTAGCATGCATGATTTTGGACTGTAGGAGGTAAACAGAGTTCTTGGAGGAAACCCACACTAAAATGGGAAAAAAAAATACCAATTCTACACAAAAACACCCCTTGGATTTGAGTCCAAGAACTTTTTGCTGTGAGACAAAAGTGCTACCCATTGTGCCACTGTGCCATCCACAAAAATAATGAATTACCTTAAATTCTGGATAAGGCATTGGATATATTGAGGGTTTGGAGCAAAATGGTTATATGTCCAAAATTTTGAATTTGAGATCACATTTGTGCTCCAAGAAAAGCATCAGAAACCACTCATTTTAGTATATAAATCTCAAATTCGAAATTTTGGACATATAACCATTGTGCTCCAAACCCTCAATATGGGGATAAATCACACCAAAACCCCAAACTGGGCATTTGTAAATATCTAAGTTTTGCAGTCCTTTTCTCAGCACCAAAAGCATTCCCGCGAATCTTCCCACAGATGACTAAAAACACTGTAACATGGACTCTGAGCTGAAACATATCTAGCAGTTGCTGAAGAAGTACAGTGTACAGTAAATTATTCCAGTGGAAGGCTTTTTTTTTTTCTTTTTGACTCCGGGTTGAATTATTTACATCCTCTCAGAAGTTGTAATATATCATTCTGGATAGTAGTTCCCCTTCAAAGTTCTGTTTTTATGACGGGCATTATTTCTTACGCACATATATAAACAAAGCCTGAGCGAGCGGCCCTGAATCAGCAGACTGTGTCAGCTTACGGCCTTTGGGTCAGAGAGGCTTTGTGGTGCCTCCATTGCTTACATTAGCATGCAAAAGGCTAAAGCTGTTCCAAATATTCCTTCTAAACATTTATCCAGCTCAAAGCCCACACGAATGAGGTTCCAGGAATCTGCTGTCTTTGGTGTAAAATCAACGTAAAACGTGATTTAAAAAACATCTATGTGAGGCCTTGCTTTGCATTTTGAGCATCATTTTATAAGGATGTGGATAAAGAATTCAAGCACTCAAAATACAATACAATACAATGTAACAACCACTCGATTTTGAGATTTTATTTTAAATTGATTGTCAAGATTAGAGGAAAAAAAAAACATTAAAATTTTGCTGTTAAATTATTCCGTTTTTTATTTATTTTTTAACCATTTCTGTGGTATGAAGTTCCTGAAATGCACATATGTGTTACAGTCTGGGGTGCGTTTCCGCAAATCTCAGAGTCTAACTTACATAGTTGGAACCATTGACTGTGAATAGACAAACTATGTAAGTTGCTAACTTAGTTAGCAACTACGCTTTTGAGAAACGCAACCCTGGTTGGTAGTATTTACATTTATATGACTTCAAGATGAATTACTCTACATGGGTTCAAATCCATCTTATCTTTGGATATGATGAGTAGACAGAACCTTCAAAACACTTTTGAAATCGCTCCCTCTTTTTCTTTTCCAGTGCTTTGCCTCACCCGTCAGCTACTCCTGCTGTTTTTGCTAAGAGCCGAGAAGGAGCGAATGCGAGGTAACATTTGCAGCTTGTGTCCCGCTCGAAAGTCAAAACTTCAAAGACTTCTCAGCAGTACAGTTTTATAATTAGTGAAGTGCACAGAGAATATATGAATATGCAAAAGCTTGTTAGTCCCAGCTTGGTCATTCCAGTAACTTTCCTATGTTTGAACAAAGCTGAATCATCTGTCATCTGATCTAATTTAATCATCAAGTCTCATTAAATTATCCAATATAATATGCAAATGAAATGAACAATGGTCAGCACATGCTAATTACGTACATCAGAATAATTAAATTGGATCGGAGCGGTGAGCAGGGGAAGTCATAAAATTGGAGCGGATTTTTTAATTAACCGCAAAAAATTTATTAGAACCTATAATCTGCCCGTAAATTGTTGAATGTCTGATGCTTGTTAGAGGGCATTACTCTAACTGCAAAGTTTTTTTTTCCCCATAACTGCTTCTTTTTTACAACCCCAATTCTGAAATAGTTGGGACAAAGCGTAAATTGTGAATGAAATCAAAATGCAATGACTTTCAAATCACACCAGCCAGTATTTTATTCACAATAGAACAGAGATAATATAGCAAATGTTGAAACTGAGAAATTTTACAATTTTATCCACAAAATGAGCTCATTTCAAATTTGATGACTGCTACAGGTCTCAAAAAAGTTGGGACAGGGGCCTGTTTACCATGGTGTAGCATCCCCTCTTCTTTTTAACACTGAGTGGAGGCGTCTGGGCATTGAGGAGACAAGTTTCTTGAGTTTAGCCATTGGAATTTGATCCCACTCTTGTTTAATACAGGCTTCCAGATGCTGGAGAGTTTTGGGTCTCCTTTGACGGACTTTTCATTTAATTATGCGCCAAATGTTCTCAATCGGTGAAAGATCAGGACTGCAGGTAGGCCAGTTCAGCACACGGACTCTTCTACTATGAAGCCATGCTGTTGTAATAGCTACAGTATGTGGTTTTGCATTGTCCTGCTGAAATACACAAGGCCTTCCCAGGAATAGATGTCATCTGGAGGGGAGCATATGTTGATCTTAAACCTTTATAGACCTTTCAGTATTCATGGTGCTTTTTAAAACATGCAAGTGTCCCACACCATATGCACTAATGCATCCCCATACCATGAGAGATGCTGGCTTTTGAACTGAACGCTGATAACAGGAGGGGTGGTCTTTCTCCTCTTCAGCCTGGAGGACACGACGCCCATGATTTCCAACGAGATTGTCAATTTTGGGCTCATCTGACCACAGGACACTTTGCCACTTTGCTACAGTCCATTTTAAATGAGCCTTGGCCCACAGAACATGGCGGCGCTTCTGGATCATGTTCAACAATGGCTTCCTTTTTGCATGATAGAGTTTTAGGTGGCATCTGTGGATGGCATGGCAGACCGTGTTTACTGACAGTGGTTTCTTGAAGTATTCCTGGGCCCATTTAATAATGTCAATGACAGAATTATGCCGGTGAGTGATGCAGTGGCGTCTGAGGGCCCGAAGATCACGGGTATCGAGTAAAGGTCTTCGGCCTTTTTCCTTACGCACAGAGATTTTTCCAGTTTCTGTGAATCTTTTGACGATGTTATGCACTGTCGATGATGAAACCTTCAAAGCCTTTGCAATTTGACGTTGAGGAACATTGTTTTTAAAGTATTCCACAATTTTTTTAGGCAAGCCTTCACAGGTTGGAGAGCCTCTGGCCATCTTTACTTCTGAGAGACTCAGCCTCTCTAAGACATCACTTTTATAGCCAATCATGTTACACACCTGATGCCAGTTAACTTAAGTACTAGCTAAATGTTCTTTCAGCTGATTCTTTTACATATTAATTGCTTTTTCAGCCCTTTTTTTGCCTGTATCCCAACTTTTTTGAGACCTGTTGCTGCCAGAAAATTTGAAATAAGCTCATTTTGTGGATTAAAATGTCTCAGTGTCAACATTTGAAATGTTATCTATGTTCTATTGTAAATAACATATTGGCTCATGTGATCTGAAAGTCATTGCATTTTGATTTCATTCACAATTTACACTTTGTCCCAACTATTTCGGAATTGGGGTTGTAAGTCCTGCTTGACGAAACACGCTGATCTTAAATATAGCAAATCTAGCTGTGACACACAATGGCGACAGAACTCACAGTCAAGCACGCACATAAGCCCATTTTATTGACCCAACTTCCTCTCCAAGAGTTAAAGCGGCCTAACAGAGGTGTGACGACAGCTACCTATCCAGCATTAAACAAAGGGGTCAAGAACAGCTGATTGCCTACTGGCGGGTGAGACTGGATGGCAAGGCAGATGAAATATTTATGGGGAAGCTCTTGTTGCTTTTTGAGTTGTAATTGTTCAATAGTGGACATGCTCCATAACCTTTGAATAAATACAATCCTTTGCCTCACATTCAGCCAAATGTAGCAATAGTATCATACAAAGAAATCCTATGGCAATCAGATATTGGACGTGTAACATCAGGTCTGAAGTGCTTTTAAGGGTACAGCAACAATAACATACAAACTGAATGATTAGATCGTGCTTTCATTCTTTTGCCCTTGTACCTTACATACCGAGATTCAACAAGATTCCTTCAAACTTTTAGTTATGTTATGCACTGTCAATGATCAAATGCCCCTAATCCCACTGATTTATGCTTGGGGAATGTTGCCCTAAAAGTCATGGATGATGAGCTTAGCTTGCACACCTGCTGGAAAATTTATGAGCTCCTGGGGCTTTTCTACATGGAGTTTGTATGTTCTCCCCGTGTTTGCGTGGGTTTCCTCCGGGTACTCCAGTTTCCTCTCACAGTCCAAATTCATGCATATCAGGCTGATTGGAGACACTAAATTGCCCATTGGCACGAGTGTGAGAGTGAATGGTGTGTGAATGGTGTATGCACTCTGTGATGGATAGGCGAGCTCTCCAGGGTGGGTCCTTCGCCCAGAGTCAGCTGGGATAGGCTTCAGCTCCCCTGCAATAAACAATTAGATTTGATAATGCATGCGTCAAAAAATGTGTTGTAGCAGTGTTTTCAATATAGTAAAGGGTGAATAAACTTTTCAAATCGCGCCTTTTTGATTGTATTTGCATTCTACATAATTTACATGCACCTCAGTGTAAGACCAGCTCGAAGCAATGCAAACATGATTAAAATGTTTATTTAAATACAATTACCAGCTATGCCAAGCATATTCCTTTACACAAAAGTTGCTACTGATGTTGTGATGGAGTATTATTCTTGTCTCTGGATGAGTAAAACGCTGAATTATGTTTGAGGTTCAACTGACCGTACGTCACAGAACCACAAAAAATAAACAGTGAAAAACGGTACAGTATGAACTGTGGGATTTTGTGGAACTGACAAACTCTACATTTGGCAGGATTCGGACCCTAACAATCCTAACCTAATTTGACCGCAGTTGACATGAAAAGCATTCGGCACAGGTATGTTTGCTGGTTGGCTGACAAGGGGAAATGAATGAAGATGGATTCAGGTTGAAGGTAATCATGAGGTGGTGTATGAGTGCTGAGGCACAGCTGCAGTTTTTCCCAGCAGGACAGATTCCTCTGTATACAGCAGCTCCGGGACCCAGGAGCTGAGTCCATCCTGGAACTGTGTCCCCCACGCGTGAGATTCTATCAGTGTCCATCCGACAGTATTTATTAAACAT